TGGAAAAGTTATTTTATTTGGTTTCTAAAAACTGAGCTTGTCTCTATCCATAGACATTACTATTTGAGTATTTTTTAAGCCGTGCAGGTAGAATCATTTCCCCTAAACCAGGCTTCTTATGAGCAAGCCACCAGCCAACGTTGCTGCTTAACTAATTGACTCACGCTCCTGCTTGCTGAGGCTTGTGGACAGCAGAAGCTGCATCAAGAGTCGTGATCCAAAACAATCCACCAGTCTGTCTTTCTCTGGGCTTTGTGTCCCCGCTGTCTGAAAGTGCCCAGTGCTCTCTCCTGGGTCTTGAACTCATTTTACCTGTCAGGACACACCAGAGAAAGGAAAGGAGAGGGAGAGAGAAAGATAGAAACATCAATAATGAGAGAGTCATTGATCGGCTGCCTCCTGGACGCCCCTGGCTGGGGATCGAGCCCGCAAGCCGGGCACATGCCCTGACGGGGAATCGAACCCCAGTCGCCTAGATCCTAGGTTGACGCTCAACCATTGAGCCACGCCCGGCTGGCCACAGTGTCATTTCTGCTTCTTCATGCTTCCATGAGCAGTGTTTTTTTTGTACACTAATCTTAGTGCCATGCGGGTTTTCCAGAAATACTAGTGCTGAGCACTTGCTTTGTGTGCTCTTATACAGTCTCCACCTAGACCATAGCAGGTGGGTAGAGCTTTTTTTGTTTTTAGTATGCAAAGGCACTGTATTAACATGATTTAAAAAAACATCTGAATCCTACAGATAACATCACTATTTACATTAAAGATCTTATTTTTAAAGTTAGGGACATAGGCTTTCTTTTTAGGTGGGTGGTATTAATTTCTCATTTTAAATATGAGAAAACTGATACAAACTGAGGTGAAGAGAGGTCAGGATGACTTTCTAGAGGCACACAGCTGGTGAGTGGGAGGGAAAGCCTACCGGATCCGTCAGTCCCTCAAGTCCAGTGGATGTCCCACGCTAACAGAGAGGTGAAATTAGCAGTTACCTTGCTGAGCGGGGAGAGTTACTATTAAAGCAAGAATTGGGGATAGACCTTCATCATCAGTTTTTATTACTGCAGAATCCATAACTGAATTAACTATCTTAAGCCATACAAGCATGTGTATTAGTTTCCTATTGCTGCTATAACAAATTACCCCAAACTTAGTGACTTAAACAGTACAAACTGATTATCTTATAATTCTGTAAAAGTCTAACATAGATCTCACTGACTAAAATCAAGATGTGAGCCAGGCTGCATCCCTTTCTGGAGGCTCAGGGGAGAACGTTTCCTTGCACTCTGCCACCTGCATTCCTTGGCTTGTGGCCTCTTCTGTGTTCAATGCCAGCAACGGTGGGTTGAGTCCTTCTGGCGTCTCATCACTCTGGCATCTGTGCTTGTGCCTCCTTCCACATGTGAGGACTCTTGTGATGACATTGAGCCCATCCAGTTAATCCGGGATAATTTCTCTATTTTATTGTCAGCTGGTTAGCAACCTTAATTCCATCTGTAGCCTTAGTTCCCCTTTGCCATGTAAGATAATGTATTCACAGGTCCTGGTCATTAGGATGTAGATACGTTTGTGTGTGGGTGAGGGGTGCATTCCGCCTGCCACCAAGTGCCACTTGACCACTTTCACAAGTCAGTAGAACAGCTGCCACTCCTAAACTCTCTTGTCCTTGGTCTGGGTTGCTTCCAGGAGGAATGTGACCCTTTTCGTTCTTGTCAGCCACAGCTGGAACACAGCTGCCCATCAGGTCCAGCCAGTGTGAGGCGAATTGAACCATGAGCCCAGGAATAAATTTCAGTTCTGTCTCTTGGTGGAAGGAAGAACATTGAGGGCCCCCTTTGTCAGGAAAAGGTGCCCACCCAGCACCGTTGCAGACGCTATCGCAGGTTACTTCCATTGCCCTACTCCATATGCTTGCTTCTGCTGCACCTGCGACCATCTCTGATGCGATTTGAGAAAATACTGTGTGTCAGGTGCTGGGCCATTCTCAAGGCAATAGTGGCAATAGCTCTTTGCACCAATTATTACTGATCCCCAAATGCACACATCTGCCATATAAAATAGAGATGTTATTGCATCGAAGTCCACAGGGATGTAATTGCTGGAGGTTTTTGTGGCCCTGTTTTCATGTTTAAACAAGGGTGGTAGTGCAGATGTTGCTGTTACTTGCCTTATGAAGAAAGAACTCAGGGAGATTAAGTAATTTGTTCAGGACCACACAAAATTTAGTAACAAGGTCAAATCAGGTACAAAATTACATTTCCATTGTTTTCTTCGTGTCACTGAGAACACTCAGCATGAGAGTGAACTAGAAGAGCTGTATTTTTGTATTTTTTAATCCTCACCTGAGGATATTTTTTCCATTGCTTTTGAGAGAGTGGAAGAGAGGGAGAAACACTGATGTGAGAGAGACACATCGATTGGTTGCCTCCCTTATGTGCCCCAGTGAGGGCCAGGGATCTAGCCTGCGGCCGAGGTACATGCCCTTGACCGGAATCAACCCAGGACCCTTCAGTCTGCAGGCTGACACTCTAACCACTGAGCAAAACGGGCCAGGGCTGAAAGAGCTGTTTTGGCTGGAAATTGGCCCCATCAGGTGACTGTCCCCGCTGTTGTGGGACTTGCCTGACAAGTTTATTCCTGGCATTTTGCTCAGTTTTTAAAACTTTCCTTTCTCTAAATAAAAGCCCTCAGAGGGAGAATAAGAGAGCGATTTAACTTTAGATCATTAAGCCTTTCACTGAATGCGTTGACACTTCAGTTAGTCATACAAAACACCACAAATAAGTAGGCCCACTGTGCAAAGAGGTATTTCTCACCTCCAGCTTTCTTTCTAGGACCTTGACAGTATATTCAGTTCTGGAACTATTACAAATACTGAATTTAAAGTCTTTATTTCTTCCTGGGGCTACCAGCTTCACTTGCCCCTTATAAGATGAGGTGTTCTGATAGCCCCATCCTCAGCCACAGCTTGTCCTTGGTGCTGGCTTCCAATTCTGTCTCTAGCCCAGACCTCATTTTGAGCTGCTGTGGGATATCTGGACTTCATGGTTGACTTAATCCCCATAAAGCCCTTGTGGGTGGGTGGATAAACACTATATTTTATTATTGGAAAATGGAGAATCAAAAAGACATGGCAATTTGTCAATAAGTATCACATATTTATAGCTTAACGTAAAGCATGAATAATACATGTTATATCTTAAGGTAAAAGTTCAGAACAAAGAGGGGTGATTAGGCGAAGGAGGGGATAGAGATAAAAGAGAAGACAGAGACAGATAAGATGGGGGTGCTATAGAGTGGATGTCTAGTGGGGTCTAGCAAGTGAAGGTTTTAGTCACGGTTGTAAGTAGAGCTGTTACTAATACTTGACTCATCGAAGCCTGGAACCAAGCCAGAGCTGGAATACGTGGCATCATTTTATTGGTCAGTTTTACAGAAAGAAAAGCCTCTGATCACTTGGGCTGGGACAGTCATTTGACCTTTTCTTCAACCCATCTGGAATTGCTTCGGGGTTAAGTTAGCCTTTTCTTTAAAACACGGACAGGGTCGTCTTCATTCCTCCATGTCACTGAGGTCACATCTTTGAGTGAGGTGGCCTTGGCCTGCTAGTGTCAGGGCTCACTACGTGGCAAACGGTGGGAGTAACAGGATAATTTTGGGAGGTAGACATGCCTGTTTCTCAGTGCTGTTCCCCACTCTCCCGTCCCCAGAAGTAGGCATTAAGTGGCCGTCTTCCCCTGCACTCCCTTCTAGGAAAGATGAGGGCTCTCTTTCCTGTGTTACTCATGAGTTCAAGTTTACAACAATGTCATGGACTCAGAAAGTAACTTATTCTGAAAATTTCTGGTGAAACGCTGGGCAGCTTGCCACTGGATTAGTTTTATCCTCTTTTTGCAAATTAAAAAATGTCTTACGAAAAAGTGGAACTGAGACTTCAGAACTAATTACAGCAGGTAGAGGAATGAGCCAAACAAGGCAGCAGAGAGCTAGATTTCTGGACTATGCTGCTTTCTTGCGTCAGTGGCATGAAAAATTCGATTGGGGGTGGAGAGGAGCAGTTACTCTCAGTTTGAAAACGTGACAATCAGATGCAAGAAGAGGGCTTTTTATGGATCTGAAACTAACAAAGCAACTGTTTTTTCAAAAAGGAAATTTTTGTGGACATCAGGGAAATTTGCATATGGTCTGTGTATTAGCTGATACTGAGGAAGTAAATGTTATTTTTATTAAGTGTTAATGACATTCGTTGCAGTGGAAATAATCCACATATTTTGGTCCATCTGAAGTAGGGATGAAATGACAACGTCTGAGATTTGCAGCCATGGAAATGCTAGCACATAAAGCAAATTTGACAAAATTTTGGAAATTGTTGAATTGAGGTGGTGGATATCAGTGGGGTTCACTATACAGTCCTCTATATTTACAATGATTGGGAAATTTCATGTTGACATCTTAAGTGTTTGACCTGCCCTCCGGAGCCCAGAGTTGAGTTGTACCTAAAATCCAGTGTGGTTATCCTGTCTCAGCCACCAGACCACAGACACTTACATTCCTTTTGGAAAGTATGCTGCCACCAACCTGGAGCCAGGGAAGCCAAATACCATCCTGAAGCTGCTTTTTTACCAATTGCCTTCAACTTACCCAGAGCTATTGATTCTGGAGGGAGGACCAAGATGTTGACCTAGATACAGTTGATTTTCACCAGCCCCCAGCAAAATGGAGAGATGGCCTTCTTTATTATTTTTTTAAATATGTTTTTACTGATTTTAGAGAGAGGAAGGGAAAGAGAGAGAAATCGATGTGAGAGAGAAGTATCGATCAGCTGCCTCCCATATGTACTCCGACCAGGGATTGCAACCCATAACCTGGGTATGTACCTTGACCGGGAATCAAACCAGAAACCTTTTAGTGCAGGGGACCATGCCCAACCGAGTCAAGTGGGCCAGGGCAAGATGACCTTTTTTAAATCAAACAAAACAAACCCTTCTCACTTTATTTTATAGGACCGCCATGAGGCCTCAGACCTTCTATGATGGGAGTCACCCCTGTGCCAGAGGAGTGTGCCATATCCCAATGGCTGAGCCGTTCTGCCCCAAAACAAGAGAGGTTTGTAATCTTTCTGGAAGGTACACCAAAATAAATCTTAAGGGCTTGGGATGGCATCTCGTTAGACTAATTGGCTAATAAGCCATACTTCCGCTTCCCCTCTCAAGTGTACTTGCTATGCAAGATTTGGTGAAAGTTGCTTCCCTTTGCTAAGAACGCCTCCACTACTGTCATTTGTGAACTAAATCTCTTAAAGTTGCAGCCTACCTTTTTTATAAGTTTTGACTTTGCCATCAGGATACCTTTTACATAATTCAGTATAGATTAACATATTAGAAAAAGAGTATAGTCTGGAACCAGATTACTTGATATCAAATCTCTGCTCTTCAGCTTAATAGCTGTGTGTCACTGGACAAGTTAGTTAACACCTCTGGGCTTCAGTTTCCTCATTTGTAAAATGAAGGTAATGACTACGTGTACATTGTAGAGCTGTGGGAGGGATAAAAGAGTTAATACTTACAAAGTGCTTTGAATGCCTGTTAGTATTTTGGCTGCCTGTTTGGATTTGTTTCTATGTATTGTAGATCTGCTAGGACTCCCAATCTTTTGGATGGCCTCTGGTGCAGGCCAATGTCAGACGCTGTTTGTGACTGACCTTGAGTACCCTGTTTGAGGCTTTCCACACTTCATAACTTGTGGTTCCCTCTGCTGGGGCTGGGTGTGTTTGGAAAGCACCAAGGTGCACACCCAGGTCTGCTTTTCCAAGCCCTGGGTCCAGAAGCAAATCAGGCAAAGACTCCAAGCACCCAGAGGCTGATTGTTATTCAGAGTCTTAATGAGCCTCAGGCTGTAGAAAGTTCACTCAGTGGCATGAGAGGTTTTCAATGGGTGGGGCAATTGCTTCCCACCCCCAGGCAAAGGCTGCTTGGATGGTAAATGTCTGCCTGAGAAAGATGTCCTCTGCATATACGGTAATGACTCAGCACAGGAATCCAGATAGCTGCCCTCTGAGCTCTATCCCCCAAGCCAGCATTCCTGAATTCTCCTCACACAACTGTAATCCACTTTGCCCTCAGGGTGAGTGGTTAAACACAAAACTTTGTGTGTTGGCCTTTTAAGAGGGTGCCTGCATTTCCCGCTATCTCTCCCTGGCAGACAGAAACCCTGCTGCTTTTCTCAGTTCTGGTACTTTGGACTGGGAAGCCCAATTTGAGATTTAGGCCCCAGAGTTCTCAGTGTGAACACAGAATTTTTATGTGCAAATAGAGAGTTTCTGGAAAGTTGACCAGAAAGCAGAGGGTGAACACAGCTGAGATACACCTCCAGACCTCTTGTGCCTCTGCACTTCCTACCAATCTCTGGTCTCCACTTTTTGTCCTTGGTTATGGGGGTGCTATCCAGCTAGTCTTCAGTTGATCATTCAGGCTGGTTTCTCTGTATTTTAGTTGTAAATTCATTTTGGTCCCCGGAGAGTGTCAATCCTCAGCTAGTCTTCCCTTGGAAACATACATCTGCCCACATAATAAATTTTCTCTCTAGAGGAAACTAGATGTTTATAAAATTCTTGTTCATTTCAAAATGGGGCCAGTTTGGGAAGAAATAGACTAGGAAAAGAATATCATGTTAGTAAGAAATTTAAGGTTTTGACTCAGACAGAAAATAGTGACTTAATATATTAGGATGGAGGTGGGTGGTGGAAATGCTAGTAATACATATAGAGCACATGTAAATGTGGTGACTGCCTGATAGTTGCCAGTAATAGAACTTGCCTTTTATGGACAGCATTTGGTTGTGCCATATCCTTCCATTTGTGTTAAAATATGTGTGTATATTTGTAAAGAGGTGAATATGATAATTTTTATGTGCACATAGAGAGTTTCTGGAAAGTTGACCAGAAAGTGGTGGTTTCCCTTGTGGCGGTGAACTCTGTCACGGTCATGGGTGGAAGAGTAATACCATTTTGTTCTCTGCAAGTTTTACTCATTCCAAAAATATTGTCACTTCTAGTCATTTTAGGAAATAATTACATATACACTTTTTGAGAATCCTGACCCATGAAATCTAATATTTGCCTGGTGATCTAATATTGCTAATATATTTGTGACAATGGTGGTAGATTCAGGAATTCCATTATGATTACTCAAGTCATGGAAATGCAAGCAGCTTAGCCTCAGGCCCAGAAATCTCTAGCCTGTCGTTTGTGTTCCTGGGACCTTACGGTGATGGCGTTATCCAAGCGGCGAGGCCCCGGGGTTGATCACTGTGGCCAGTCTGCATCCAGGAGCCTCTGCTTCCTCTTCCTCCGTCACAGCCCCACCTCCCAGGGTGATGGTGGGGACTTCCCTGCCACAGGCCAGCGGCATGGGGTAGCTGTGGTCCTCCTTCACTCGTCTCTACAAGTACTCCGAAGGTTGACCAAGTTGCACAGCTTGGTTATTTGGGATTTTTTAAGACATTTAATGAAGATAGGACTAGGCTGGTTGTGTATTAATTCTTTTATTTTCACCCAAGGATATGTTTTTATTGATTTTAGAGAGGAAGGGAAAGCGAGGGAGGAAGGGAGAAATAAAGAGACAGAGAAAGAGAGACAGACAGAGAGAGACATCGACCAGTTGCCTCCCATATGGTCCTGGACCAGAGATCAAACCCTCAACATACATATGTGCCCTGACTGGGAATTGAACCCACAACTTTTTCATGTACAGGACGATGCTACAACCAACTGTGTCACCTAGCCAGGGCTTGTGGTTATATATTAATTTTGAAAAAAGGGGGGGGGAGCATGATTTAGGCCCTTGCATTTATAACCTGTACTCTTTGGGGAAAAGGTTTGATTAAGCATAGTCTTATTTTCAGCATTTATAGAGTAAATAAACATGATGTAGCATCAACTATTCATTGTCTGTGGCTTTTCATAGTTCCAAATCTGGGGTTGCCAAGGCTCCTGTTAAAATTCTTTCTCCCATTGTCATAATGTAGTATAAGTTATTTATTCAGGAAATAGATTAATTTACTTATGTGGTTCAGACATGAGCAGGCAAGACTTTCCTTAGATTGTAGCCTTCTATTAACTTTGAGTCACTCCGTTTTATGTACATATGGTATTCCAGGAACCTTTGCCAGTTATTTCCCGAACCTGTAGAAGCTGCTAGTGCAGTAAACCCTCACTTAACCTTGTGCATAGGTTCTTGGAAACTGTGACTTTATGCAAAATGATAACAAAACCAATTTTTCCATAGGCTGAGATAACAAGAGTTAAGTTCTTGTGGCATATTTCTGGTGACTGAAACATCACCAAACTTCTAAACATAAGTATCTAAAACCCTTCTAATATTAAACATTGAAATAAATGTGAGCTACACATACATTTATGAAAGATGAATAAAAGCAAGTAAGATAAGTATTTTCCCACCCACTTATTGCAGTTCAGGGTCACCGGTGGCTGGAGCTTATCCAGGCAGCTCAGGGCACCAGGCAGGGCCCCTGGACTGGACGCCCTTCCGTCACAGGGCGTATCACACACTCGCACTCACTTGCATCCTTGGGATGTGGGAGGAAACCTGGGTACCCAGAGAAAACCCGCATGGAGATGGAGGGAACATGCAGGCTCCACACAGGCAGTGGCCCATTGGGAATCGATTCTTTTCCCTCCAGTGTTACAACGAAGTGCCAAAATGACATCATTTAAGGGCCTGCTATGCTGCTAATGGATAGAAGACCAATTTAGCATTTATATGTTTACAATGTGTCTGACACAATTCTGTGCTATCTTTAACTCATTTAATCCTCACACTATCTCTTGAGTTATATACAATATTATTCCCATTTACAGGTTAGTAAAGATATACAAAGGTTAAGTGAATTTTCAGCAGTGCTTAATTAACAGTCAAGTTTAAAAGACTTTTTTTAAATTAAAAAGGAATGTTGAAGCACAGGCTAAGAAAAAAATGAAATTAATTAATAACCTGAAGATCAGATGTGCATTACTAATTAGACACTGGAAAAGGTGATCAAACTTTTAAGTAATGTTTCTAAAACCCACGCATGGTCTTGCTACTAAAGGGAAGCTAAGATAAGTTTGTCCCCGGACAGAAAAATGTCAGCATGGCCTCATTCTGTTTTCACTATATGTCCTTGGGAAGGCAACAGGCAAAAGAGATTATGAAGAAATGACTTTCTAACCAAAAAAAAAAGAAGCTTTTACAGAAGTCTTCAGACTTTTTACTAAAGAGCAATGAGAATGAGTTTCTCGGGAGCTTGGAAAGCACTGTCAGCTCTCTCTTTGAGGAGATGTGAGTCAGCAGTGCCTCCTGAGCTGAGCCTGGAGGTTAAGAGCTTGAACTCAAGTCCTTGTTCACAGCCCGGCTTAGCCTCTTCAAGCTGTTAGGAAGTAAATGAGATTAAAGCATATAAACAAATTCCTGGTGCTTAGCAGCAGCTCCCTGTTTGCTCCTGGAGCTGTGAGCTGTATGTGCAGGGACTGGGGAGACAGGATCTGTGAGTGGTTGAGGGTCTGGGAAACTGTGATTCTCCCAGGTTTTCCCTGAGCGCCTGCAGCTATTAGCCTTTTATAGTAAAAATCTTTAATTAATCAACGTTTTAAATTTCAGAAGGAAAAAATGGTAAGCTGTACTTAGGTTTGTATGTTTTTAATGTTTTGGGTTTGTGGTTCCTTCTCTTCTAGGTCCTCATAGAAACTGCTAAGAAGCTAGGACTCCGGTACCACTCAAAAGGGACAGTGCTCACAATCGAAGGACCTCGGTTTAGTTCACGGGCAGAAAGCTTCATGTTTCGCACCTGGGGGGCAGATGTTATCAACATGACCACAGTTCCTGAGGTGGTTCTTGCTAAGGAGGCTGGACTTTGCTATGCAAGTATTGCCATGGCAACAGATTATGATTGCTGGAAGGAGCACGAGGAAGTGGTAGGTGGAATTCTCTCCCTTGCACGTATGGCCTAAGTTTCCGGGTGCCATGAGGGCCAGTAAGAGAGGATCTTATCTGTTTCATTCTATTGCATTAGTTCCAGAAAGTACCTTTCTACCAGGTTTTAAAGTCAACTTTTAATATACCATCATTAGATATTACCAAGATATTTTCTATAGTCGCCTTTGGAAAGTAAGAACCAAGATCTTCATAGGAAAGAAGAAGGTACTTCTATCCAAGGATTAGCAGTGCACAGTACATTGTAGGCATGTGAGGATTCCCGGAACCACATTGAGACTTGGACCTTATTTTAAGGATAAAGGTCTTGGCTATAATTTCCTTGTGCTGTGCTACTGCTTGTCCTGGTTTTTTTTTTTTTTTTTTTAAATGGAAAAACTTACTGTTTCTTATCTCTTTCTGGTAAGTGGACTCTATTCCTATCTATCTGTTTAACCTACTATTACTGGATACCATGCTTGGTGTAGGAGGATGACAGCGAACAAAACAAGTTTGTAAGGAGCCAACGTTCTTGGTTGCTTGCGGGCAGGGCGATGTTAGAGATTAAGCGAACCAGCATGAGAAAGCTCAGGATTATAAAGAAGTAGTGTGGCGAGATACAGGAGTGAGTCCAGTGGTCTCAACAGAATATTGGAAGCCTGGGAAGCTTCCTGACATGGCGGGAGAGGCGGGTGTGTTTGGGTGAGTGGAGAGGAGGCAGCGAGAGAGGCAGGGCCGTGGAGAGCGTGCGTTTCAGATGGGAGGTCAGTGAGGGGTTTTAGGCAGGAAAGGCAGCTAAGTCCAGCTGGAAATTAAGGGCACTGGACTGCTGAGTCAGGCTTCCTAAACAGATGCTTTCATTGTGGAAAACTTCGGACATCTGCCAAAGTAGAGAGTCTAGAATAACGAACCCCAGTTACCCATCACCCAGCTTCCAGTTATCGGCCATGGCCCGCTTTGCGTCATGTATATGCCCCCACCCACTCCTCTCTCCCCTGCCTTCATTATTCTGAAGTAAATATTTTTTATAAAGTCTTCTTTTAAAGAAAATATAATAAAAAATAACCACAGGGCCATTATTGTACCAAAAAATATTGATATTAATTTCTTAATATAATCAAATGTCTGGACTGTTCACATTTTCCCTCTTGTCTCATCATTTTCATCTATTCAAGTCAAGATCCCTTATAATCCATACATTGCATTTGAATAATGTCTCTTTTAACCTAATGTTCCCCTCTCTCTTTTCATCCCTTGCACTTTACTTAAAGAAACCAGATCGTTTGTCTTATTTTAAAATAGAGAAAGGGACAGAACTACAGTCAAGAAATTTTGAAGTAAGAAAGAAGTGTAGGGGTGGCTGTTCTGAGCACATTTAGAACAGGTGACATCTTCTGCAAGGGGCCCCTTACCGTCACCTCTCAGAGCTGCTTGTCTCGCCATCCAGTTTCATGTGAAACAGGGTCAGATATTCTTGCTCTCTGTCCATCCATTTATATGGATGTGGGGTCATAGATGAGCACAGGTTCTTTGTTCTGCGAGATGCTTTATCCTGACTCCTCAGTGTAATTAACTACAAGGAGGCTTTTTTTTTTTTTAATTAATTAATTTTGTAAGTTTCTTTATCTTTATTGTTGAGAATATTACAGATGTCCCCTTTTTATCCCCACTGATCCCCTCCACCCCACATCCATCCCACCTCCAGGCTTTCCCCATAGCGATGTACGTGTCCATGGGTTATGCTTATAAACATATAAGTTCCCTGATTAATCTCTCCTCACCCACACCCCCCTTTCTGTCTTCCCTCTGAGATTCCTCAGTCTGTTCCAAGCTTCTATGTCTCTGGATCCACTTTGTTCATCAGTTTANTGAATCTATTCTGTTCATCAGTTTATTAAGTTCTTTAGATTCCACGTATAAGTGAGATCATGTGATGTTTGTCTTTCTCTGCCTGGCTTATTTCACTTAGCATAATACTTTCTAGTTCCCTGCATGCTGTGCTAAAGGTTAAAAGATCCTTCCTCTTNTTCTCCAGGACCATCCATACTGTCCCAAAGGGTACAAGATTCTTCTTCTTTACAGCTGCGTAGTATTCCATGGTGTAAATGTCCCACAGCTTTTTTATCCACTCATCTACTGATGGGCACTTGGGCTGTTTCCAGATCTTAGCTATTGTAAACTGTGCTGCTATGAACATAGGGGAGCATATATTCTTTCTGATTGATGTTTCAGGTTTCTTAGGATATATTCCTGGAACTGGTATGGCTGGGTCAAACAGTAGTTTGATTTTTAATTTTTGAGCCAATCCTATACTGTTTTCCATAGTGGCTGCACCAGTCTGCATTCCCACCAGCAGTGTACTAGGG